ATGAGGTTATTATCCACAGTTTGAAGTCATCCTCTCAGATACATACGACCCTTCAGAAAATAGACTGATCAATGAAATAGGTAGAAATTGGCACTTTTAAAGAATGGTTTTCATGGAGGGAAACATGTATTATTTTGTTAACGTGTGGCAGTATTCAACTGGAACGTGCTTCATGAGAATGAATATATATTCTAACACATGTGAGGTCAGAGTGAGAATTAGGGTTAAACTTACTGTAGAAAGCTCAAGGGTTGTGTGTCACAGACTCTTTGAAGCCTCTGAAGTATGAAGGACTCTTTTATGTGATGGGGAATGCGCGTGCTACATCATCAACTATTAATAGGGGAGAAAGACAGGAGCCACTCTCCTATGAATTCTCTCTTCTCCAGAAAACCTTATGTCAGCAGAACTTTTTTTTCTTTTTAATGTCACTTAAGGTTGGGACGTTTGCTGGAATAAATAAAATGCATGTGGAGAGTTTTCTGTATCTGACTCAGAGCTAAATAGTGATATGTGATTTTTACCTTTCAGCTGAGCCAGATATTAAAGATTTCTCACAGAAACACTGTATATAGTTTCTCAGAAATGCTTTAGAGGTTTATGAATCTGATACAAAGCCTATTGCAGCTGGGAAAATTCATGATTTGAGTTGGTTTTCAGTTGGGCTGTACAAATCTTATTGATCTATTTATATAACTTTTTTAAGAGGAAAAAAATTACCTTTTACTTGTGGCAAAAACTTGAGGACTTAATTTTTAAGCTGTTAAGATTCCAGTATACTCTGGAGTCTTAGGCAGCAGATACCTTCTGCTTTGTGAAGGTAAAGACACAAGCTCCAGTGCTCAGACTGAAATTCATTGCAATTATTTAACCAAGGCATCAATTCTCATCATCAAAACACAGCGCTCCCAGGCTGGAGCTGTTGTGCAGTGTTGCCAGAGATGGGTAGATGGCATTATGCATCAGCAGGGAGGTATAAGTCAGCAAAATAAGGTTTTTTAAGGGTGGCTTTTAAGCAACGATAGAAATGCCACGACTGACTCCAATCTCTGCTCTCCAGTGTTAAATGTGAGCAAGGGATTGTGGTTCTCTCTGTAGCCATCTGTGGGTAAGCAGAAAGCTTTAGTGATTGGTGACAGCAGCCTGGAAAATTGTTCAGGGTTTTTAACTTGGCTGTCTCTGAAGATGACTTGAACCTTCAGATGACCTCCAGTTCCCTACCCACAGCCATCTTGGGGACCTGTAGAGTAAAAAAATGAAGGTTAATGGCTTCTGTTACGTTATCCTAAAGCTTCACCATCCTAGTCCATCCTGATGCAATCTGTGGTATTTTGGTGGAGTCTCAGACCTTTTGAGAAAGGTTTCTATTATTCTGTGAAAAAAGGAGATGGAGACGTGCTGGTGTAAACTTTGCTGTCACAATAAAACAATGGTCTTACTAAAATACTGTGGTGGTAGCCAAAGGACAAGTGTTCCTTCAGAATGTGGAAAAGAGAAAGATGCTGGATCACTGTGAAATGGTGACATTCCATTCTTAGCAGAGCTGCATGGTGTGTCTGGACCTCCTCACTAAAGTGGCTGCACTGTATCAGTGCAGAAGGTTGGGCTCTGGTCCATCATTCCAGGTAAATGGCAGCCACAGGACAGAAAAGCTGTTGGTAGAGGTTGGGAAAGGGTGTAGAAGGTGAAAAGGGTTGGTAACCTGTACCTGAGTTGATGTTCAGTGGTGATATGATGATACTGAACTTGTATATAAGGGCTCTGTGTAATTTGGTGGAAGTCTCTGCTAACAGGCCAAAAAAGAGGTGGGTGCACCTTCAGTAATCCAGGGAAGATGCAGATCTGGGCTACAGCTCATCTCTTGCTGCAGTGGAGGCACTAAGAACCCAGAAGCATATGAACTGCTGCAGTGCACTATATGGGAAAGCTCAGCTTCCTTTTTGGAGGTGGTGCCCATTTGGTTCAAGTATTACTTGTTTGGAGCAGGGGTCAGGATTTGAGCCATGGGCAATGAATGAAATCAAATTTTTGAAAAGAAAGAGTATCTTAACAGGGAGTAAACACTTCTGCTCTGACTTACAAGCAGTCATTAAAAGCCTTTATTAAATTTTGTGTCCATTCTTTTTGCCACTTAACCATTTCTTTTCATTCTGAAGACTTATAACTAAGAATGAATGAGTCTTTTCTAGTACAGTCAAGACATAATAAATCTGTGAAAGAACTGAGCTATCTTTCTCCCTCATAGGCAAATTTTTCCAGTTGTTTAACAAAATGTTGGTTTGTATTGCCGTGACATCAGTCTTTAGGCTGTGAATAACAAGGTTCAGCATTAGGCAACTTGTTTATGAAAAACAGTTATGCAGTAAAATTAGAGAGTCTCCACTAGAGTCCCCACCCTCTCCTCCCACTGCACTATGGGAAGCTATTTGTGTCTTCAGAATGAGCAAACAGATCTCTTCAGTGAAAGGGTGAAAAATTTCCTGAGTTCTGGCATATAGAAGTTGGTATCTGTTGTTCCACAGAACAGGATCTTTGTTGCACTGATCCAAGCATTTGTCAGCCCAGAGTGGAGGATGGCAGCTCACAGCATCTGAAGAAGGAAACTATCACACAAAATTTCCCACTGCAGAGAAACTGCTGCATCCATCATCATCCTTTCAGCCCAGTTAATAAAGTTGTATTGGCCCTGTGCTCCGGTTCCTCCCACAGCTCCCAGCCTTTTCCATGTGAAATGTGTTTGAATATTCAAAGTAGCTACATTTCCAAATACGTTTTGCTCAGTACCAAGAACAATCAGTCCTCCGAGATGAAGCAGATCACAAAGCCTGCAATGGATCTGCAATACTTTGGGAGGAAGATCCTCATGATGAAGGTTATTGGATAGATCCAGAGTATGACAGCAGTACAGAGTCTTTGAGAAGCAGTACAAAGTCTTTGCATTTGGTCGGTGCTCCTCAGCTGTGGGGGAAAGGTTCAGGTTTCTCTTGAATCCTCCTTGCCTGATAAATATTTGCCTTATAACAGAATTTATTAGTCTAAGTGTCATGGTTTGAGATAGCCCCAAAATCCAATTCCCTAGCTCCATCCCCCCTCCCACATCTCAACCTAATGTGAGATGGGTTTTTCTAGACAAAACACAACCAGACTCAGAATGGGGGAAAGGGAATATATTACAATGACTGTACAAATAAATACTATACCACATTATACACAAAATCACAACTATCTCTACCATGACATATAGTATTTACAATGGATCAGATCTCTTCTCCCCTCCAAATAAAAGTCCAGGAGGGAAAGAAGGACAGATCCCTTCCAGTCTCTCAGGGCAGCAGCTTCTTCAGAGTAGCAGAAGCAGTCTATCTCTCTCTCTCATGCATGCAGCTGTTGCTGGATCTCTGCCAGCACTCACGAGGGAGGTATCCAAGCTCCCTCGGCCCCGTCGCCAACCAACCGAGGGGTCTTCCCTGGGCTTCATAACCCCAGACAAGGTTGTTCCACCACGGTCATATCACGAAGATGCAGGGGGTCTTCGTGACAGTCTGGTATCTCCAGGAGATTCAAGCTCCTTGCAGGGCCTCTGTGCCCTGCCTCAGGCTGCCACCTTGGCAGCAGTGCGAGGGGGGAGCCAAGGTCACCCCCTCTGCATTCCTCTCCGTCCCAGTCCAGCTTCCCAGGACGCTCTGAGCTTCTCAGCTCTTCTCTCTCTCTCTCTCTGGTGCTGCATTGTCTCTGTTGCTCCGTCTTATCTCTTCTGGCTCTCTGCCACCACTTCTCCGGTCAGTGCCAGCTGCTGCTTTCTCCGGCCGCTGCCCAGTTTGGAGAAAACATCTCCCAGCTCACAGCTACAGACACATAGTCCAGCTTAACACTGTTCCAAGTCTCTGTAGCCCCCAACTGGGGCTGGGGGGCCCCAGAGGCCCCGAGAGGCTCCAGGCCCCTTTCCTTGTGGCTCCTACAACATGGCTACTTCACCTACCTACCCAAACTACAACTCATCTCTTCCGGTCTGGTTGTGGTATGTTTACATTTCTGCAGGAGCGCCCATTGGACAGGACTTCAAAACTTCCAGGGGTTTCCACCCCTTGGGGGTTACCACTTTTCTTAGCCTCTGGGGGAAAACAAGGTTCAAACCACTACACTAAGCCAGTTACTTTTTTTCTTCTCAAATAGTGCTGCTCTTATGTGCTCTCCACAGGCTAGATTTAGATTCACTGCCAGTGTAACGGGATTTTCCATCTTTTGGAAGTACCAGTGAACTGAAAAAAATCATTTATTCCCACAGTGCTAATAATTTATGGTGACATCAGGAGAAAGAGTTATCTAAAGATCAAAAAGCTGAGTTTGGGGAGTAAGGGTGTTGTTAGAGTAAGTGTGACCTAGTATGATCCATTTGGATTTATTCTAGAAAAGGTTTTCTTATTCTGTGCTCAGTCCTAGAAATATATTTCAAGTGGCATTTAAAGAACAACTTGCAGTTGGTACAGGCATCTTAAATGGCACCATCTTAAAAGTCATATCCAGGAGCCAAGGTGTCCAAGTGACCAAGTCCATCATGAAAAGTAGCAAATGCCTTCAACTCTTCAAAGGTTGTAAAGTATATTGTGGTGTTCAACTGTAAAAAAACCCTCAAAATATGTCCTAGGACAGCTGGCACATTGTACCATCATTAACCGATGATCTCCAAACTGCGGTTTCCAAGAGGAAAAGCTGTAGGAACAGCACTCCCTGTGATATAGTGGTAGATGTGATGTTTTCAGTTAAAAGCTTGATGATAAGTGCCTCTGGTCATCTGTGGTGAAGAATATTTGATGGTATAGTCTGCTGTTCCAAAATATTTGGATGTCATTGCCGGGAAGAACCTCCAGCTGGAGGACCTGTTCTTGAAAGCGAGTGAGAAAGTGAGAAATGCTTGTTGCTTTATGAACCAGATGTGACCAGAGATGGGAGCTGTGTAAATACTCTGACCATTGTTGGTTTGTTGCTTCTTCTGTTTTCAGCTGGATACTGAGAAGGCCAAATTGAAACTGGAAAGATGGGCTTCCCGAGATGCTGGCAGTGGGGGAGGAAAAAGTGGAGAGGTGGAGTCAAGCGGAGATTGTGATGATGAGGATGGTTGTCAAGGATCCGGGGACAGGATTCCCACAGCAGGTAAACACCGTTTCTGTTAGTGCTTGCAGAGCTTGGGAATTCATAAATGTCTCAATTAGATGGACAGAGCTCAGACTTATCCTGCTTGAATTACTGTCAAAATCCTACTAAATTCGAAGTAAAAATAGAATGATACAGACAGTAACCCAATATAATTTAACACTTGGCATGCAGATAAAAGACTTAAATTTAGAGTGAATAATATCTGCAATGAAATCTAGATCACAGAAATACTGAAGAGCCTTTCTAGATATTGTGGGCTCTTCAAATAAATAGAAAATTGATGTCCTTACGGAGTGCATTAAATGTTAACATAAATATTTATTTATTGCATAATTATGCTGAAGGATGATCCAAACAGAGTTGGCTGAAAGTCTATGTTCTTGAAAAAACACATGAAATACTGTGGTTTTCTTTCTAGTGGTTAAGTGAAATTTCTTGATAGTCTCAGATATGCATTCTGCAATATTTATTCATTGAATTACTTGGATAATATGTCATCAAGTGTAGAATCAGCATCAGAATGTAACTCAACTTCCACCAACATACTGCCAATATAATATGTAGTTAAATCCTTTTAGTAACTCAGTAAGTAGTAAAGTGTTTCCGAATACTTGATATTATTGGTTTCTCCTATCTGTAAACTCTGATTCATTTTAGCTCATCAAAATGTAACTGCTTTAATTGCCATAGTGTCTGTCAATATAATGTGGATTGGATGTGCAAGTAGATGAAATATAGGTGTAAGAGTGTTGAAAAGCAATGCTTATTGAGATGGCTGGAACTCAGGTAAGTTTTAAACTGCTGCTGAGATAAACAAAGGCCTTTTCCTTGTCCCTCTGCCATGGAGTGGAGGGGAGGAAAGATATCCCATACTCAGGTAAGATTTGCAGACATGCAGTGATTAGCCTGTAGTCAAGACTCCAGTTGTTCCTCCTGTGAGTATTTGCTCGGGGAAACAAAGCTTAAATGTGTACTTTGAAACATGTACAAACTGTTACAGCTAATTTGCAGCACCAGCTTATAACTACTTGAATTTTAAATTGTGTGGATGGCATTATGATCAGAGTACATGAGGTACCACCATATGGGGACAGTGTTTTTAAAAATGGTTAAGTAATTGCAACTAACAGATCAAGTAGAGGTTTTCATCATCTGCTCACCGATATTTTTGAACAGAAGAACTGTGACACAATGTTATTTTAAAACTATTTACTCAACTTTTTTGTTTGCACTGTATTACATCCATAAGCAATGAAAAGATTGCTAGATGTTTTAGACCCTGGGGATTTGGAAGGATAAATACTTTAATATGCTTTCCTCTCTCTATGGAGTAGTACAAACCAAAGCCAGGTGCTACCTACTCTTCACCAACAATCAGTCTGTTAATACAGTGTTCTGAGTGGATGTGTGTGCATGCTTACAGGGGCTATGGCAAAGTTCAGGCATTCAAAAATAAAAACTTGAACACTTTGAAGACTTGACTTTCAGCTGGCTTTAATAATGGAAAGCTACTTAATGTCTCTTTTACCCCTTTATTGCAATCTATTTAATTAAAATACTTTATGCTGATATCATCCTGGATTTAAAAGAATTATATCTCCAAAACTAGCTGTTTCAGAATTTAGCAGGGTGTATATCCAATTAAAAAGGTAATTACAATAAATTTTAGAAAATGGTATTGATTCATAACAGAAGAATAAGTATTTCATTGTGTGACAATAGTAATGCTGTATCATAATTAGCTTTAAAATATTGTACTGTACACAAGCCACTAGCAGTAAATCTCTTTTGCATATCTGGATACAATTAAAAGATAAAATGCAGTAATCTCATTATAGAGCTGCTTTGCTTTAATAGAATGTTAAAGAATAACAAACATCAGATTAGTTGAATTTCCTCCTGCTGCATGTCTGTTAGATGGTGTTTGCAATTGTTTAGCCTGTGAACTTGTATTTCCTAAACCTAAAACCCGTCAAGTACGTCTAACCATTATTTTGTGGAAGTGGAACGTGACAACATTGCCTATTCCCTGCTTGCCTGAAACACAGAATGAATTGAGATACGAATTGAAGGTAAAGTTAAATCCCAAATCAAATCCCAAATCCCCTGATTTGAAACTTGATGATGTCAGTGGGAATATCCTTACTGACTACAGCAGGTATGAGTGAGACACAAACAAGGGCTATAAAATGCCACCGAGCTCATCAGGACATGTTTAGCATGCACTCATACAGCAGAACAAAAGGAATAAAAGCCTTTCCAAACACAGACGTTTTGGCAGAGCAGTCATGCTTTTAACAACAGGTCCATGAAAAACAGAAGACAGAGGAAAGGATTTCAATGTCAACAGGTAAAATGCTGAATTTAAAATGTAACAAAAATTCACTACATCTGTCATTTATTTGAAACCTACATGAAAATTATATTTACCACTTAAGAGCATTGCAAAAGACTCAAATTGCTTTTAGTTTTTGAAAAGCTACTGAATGCTCATTTCTTTCCAACTCCCAGAATAAAAATTACCTTTTCTTTACCAATAAATTGCCAGGAGTTTTGTCAATATCTGAGTTTCCATTGTCAAGGTGTTTCTGCTTGTAACTATTAGTAAAGCTCTCCCCAGACAGGATATGTTGCTGTCCCCCACTGGGCTTTTCCAAGCTGGTAACAGAGGGCCAGGCTTCTTGGTTTTAAATTCCAGTGTCTGTCCTGGGTAGGTAATCACGTAAGTGATTCTGTGCATGCCGATTCCAGCCAGGTCACTGTTCATATCCTTTTCCCTGGCTTTTGGGTTTGGTGGTTGTTTGGTTGGGGATTGCCATCTCTATATGTCAGCTTATCCTGCATTGGATAGTACGATCCTGTCCTTTTGTTTGTCACCTTCTAGTCCTTGAGAATCAAGCCTGCATAGCAGTTAATAATTTTATTTTAAATCTTTAATTAAGATACAATATTTAGTGCTGGTTTTTTTATTTATCTCTTTGTTACAAATAAGTGTTTGCTTGATTGTTATCTAAAAAGATCACTTCTTCAATCAGAATGGGCTTAATTATCATGTGGGTTTATCCAAATGATTTTACGAGATAAATTCTCAGGAAACCGGCATTCTTTTCGAAAATTGTGTATGGTTTAAGATGCTTTAAAATGTCAAATTCTCACAGGCCCTACCAGTTACCACAAGTATCTTTTCTTGGGGAAAGCTGTAGGAACAGCAGTTTCTCAAGCAGGCCCATGTTTATTTTTTGGCAAGGACCAACTTTTTAATGACAACATCTGTGAATCATCTTTGAACAAAGCTTTGTTAGGAGAGATTTAAGAAGAGGAAAGTAAGCCATATAAATCTTGCGTGTGGATGAGGAAATTGCTCTGTGGTTTGCACTCTGCAGTGCTGCAGGTTTCTAGGCAGAAGGGCAAAGCAGCATCCTGTGCTGAGCCTTGCTGAACACAGAGTGCTCCCAGAACCACAGACTGACATGGAGCTGGTCACAGGATGAGCCCAGTGATGGAACTGCTCCTTCATAAGCCCTAACATGAAGGTGGTGGCAATGTGGCAAAGAGCAGGGATTGTTATTGCCCTGCAGGATTGAGCCATGGGAATGTTTGATTAGGAGAGGGATGAGTGTCCTGCTGTTCATGAAAAGAGAACAGCAGCAGATTCACATTGTGTCCTGCCCATGCTGTTTAGGGAAAAGGAAAATGTTTCTGACTGTTCTGTGAAAAGGTGGAAGGAAGTTAGTGCAGAGGATTTCAAATTCCCAGCTGTGCTGCACAGCTGTGAGTTGTCATGAGGCCCCACCCAAGAAGTGACAACCAACATTAGAGCTCTGTTCAGGGAAATCATCAGGTGATTAGCCACTCAGCAAAGGTGGAAATGTTCAGACCACAGGTAGGAACCTACATTTAGTGCCAGCGCAAAATGCCCTTTGTAGAGCTCTGGGCTGAGTAGTAGTTGTGGAGCACTGTGGTTAGGAGAACTTGTGCTGATACCCCTCTAGCCATGGGTCTGTATGCACACCTGTCTGTGCATGGAGGACACAGGGATTCCTGGGCCTCCTCACTGGCATGGGTCACTGCACTGTACGTGCAGCCATGTGTTTCACTAGCCAGTGTGGGACAGAAATTAATCCAAGCTTCTGTCTAGAGGAGACTGATACAACGTCCTGCAAAGTCCTAGGAATGTAGCTAGTGCTGGACTAAAGATGTTCTCTTGCTGGCAGGGCAAGCAAACAGCACAGATTAAGGAAAACATGGTTTAACCTACCCTTGGGTCCTCCTGCACTGAACAGAACAGACAACCCCAAATGTCTGGTGTACATGGACTGCAGTCTTTGCACCAGGTTCACCCGTCTGAGGTTAGAGTCTCTATATGGGTAAAAAAGCTCAGCGTGTCCTCACGTAGGACATGTGTTAACCCCAAACCTGACGTGCCTTGCAACTTTAGGTCATTGGGAAATGGAGACATTGGTCTTACCTTCCCCCAGCTCACTGTCTGCTCCATGCAGAGATGGGTTTTTGCTTTGTCCCCATCCCAAAAGCAGTGGGTTTCCATGGAATAACAAGAAGTGCCCTTAGGCACAGCAGATTTTATACAATACTTTAAAATTGTGTCTGTTGGTGCAGGATTCAATAAGCAAACACATCCTGAGGCATCTCAGCCAGGCTTTGAACTTCCTGATTCTGGCTGTCTCAGTTGAACATCCTGCTTATTGTCACAGTTCACTGTCTGAATGGGAATCTATAACCAATCCACTTAGCATATTCAGATGTCAAGAACCCCCGGCTTTCTTCTTGGCTGGGTAGACATTCCCCGGCTTCAGTCCATCTTTCTGCTCTAGACAGAGTGTCTGAAGAGATTGCCCTGGTTATAGATTCTTTTCTTCAGGGCTTATGAGAAGAATGGGGTTTTTTGCCCCAAAATACCTTTACAAGTGCAGACAAGTAAATTTTCTTTTTTCTTATTGTCTTATGTCTGACTTGTATCTGCTCTCAACAGCTGTGGA